CCCAGGACAGCTGGGAAAGAGCTTTAGGGGGCAGCCAATGCAAAGACCCTGAGGTGAGTCTGCTGAAGCAATGGCCAGCCTGCAGGAAAGCCCCAACTGCAGGGGAAAGTAGGTGTCCCTGAGGGTTCTGCAGACAGGAGAAGCAAAGATGCTTCACAGGTCAGCCCTAGAGAGGCTCAGCACTGGGACTCAGAGCTGCCAGAACTGCAGGAGCTGGCTCCAGGCTGGCATCCCAGAACAACAGGGTAGGATGGACAGAGCTGCTGGCCTGTGCCCCAGTGAGTAGTCCCACTGCAGTTTTTTTTTTAATGTATTTGGTACAGGGTCTCACTATGCAGCTAGGACTCATAGTGATCTGTTTTCAGCCTCCCCAGCACTGGGATTACAGGCATGTGCCACCACACCCAGACTTGGGGGCCAGCTCAAGCGCACTGGGGACAGGGTAGGGCCAGGTGGGGCACATGGCATGTGGTGCCAAGGATCGAACCCTGGTCCTTGGTCCTTGTGCTTGCCAAAGCACTTAGTCCACTGACCTATCTTTTTTTTTAGTGTGTGTGTGTGTGTGTGTGTGTGGCCAGCTCAGCCCACCAGGGGGCAGGGCTGGCTGGCATGTGGTGCTGGAGGATTGAACCGCGGTCCCTGTGCTTTTGTTCCAAGTAGGTGCTTTAGACCACTGAGCCATCTCTCCAGCCCCACTGAGCTATCTTGCTGGTCCCTTGTATCTTTTTTTTTTTTTTTTTTTTTTTTTTTTTTTTTGTAGAACCGGGGATTGAACTCAGGCCGCTGCGCTTGCCAGGGAAGCACTTATTCCACTGAGCCATCTCCCCAGCGTATGTATCTTTTTGAGACAGGGTTTTGCTATGTTCAGGCTGGCTTTGAGCTCATTTTGTAGTCCAGGCTGGTCTAACTCAAGATTCTTCTGCCTCAGCCTCTTAGTCTGGGATTATAGGTGCACACCATACTTGGCTTGATTGGGATTTAACTCAGACCCCCCCCAGGACACCCTCACACCAGACACTGGCTATCCCTCCCCATGCCTGCTTCCTGTGGCTCTGAGGGTATTCCTGCCCTGTCGAAGCTCACCCATCAAAGGTTCTGTTATTTTGCCATGCCCCTGGATGGCAGGGGTGTTGCCACCCTGTTCCGAGCCAGGCCTCAGGGCCTCTAGTGGTCCCCAGAATGACTGACGTAGCTAGGCTAGGCAAGGCAGCAACCCACTCACTGGGGCACACAAGCAGGTCCTGGAGTGACTGCAGAGACCAGGCTTCCCACTGTGGCCCGGGGGCTGCAGCTGCGTTCCTCGGAGTGTGTGGCACCTCGAACACCAGGCTATGCTCACATTGCCTTTCCTTCAAGGTTTTCCTGAGGCTGGGGAAGAGCTGCACTTTCCTGGGGGAAAGCCTGAAGAAAGCTGAAAAGCCCTTGGGTCCCAGGCCTCTGAGTCCCACCCGTGGTGGGTGGCCAGCTCCTGGCAGGGGCCAGGCCTCATTTTCTGTATTTAGGACAGTGTCTACAGGATCTTACTATGGCAATTGGACTTGTAGAGATCCTCCTGTTTTCAGCTTCCTAAGTGCTGGGCTTACAGGTACGGGCCACCATACCCAGAAGGGATTGAACCCTGAGCCACTGTGCTCTAAGCAGGCACTTCAGTCCGCTGAGCTATCAGGCCCGGCCCCAGGGGTCGTTTTCACTGGAGTTCTTTCCCTGGAAAGTTGAGAATAGGAGAGGTCCTTCACCTGCAGGGTTTCCTGGCAGCCTCTATGCTAAGCAGGGCCTGCAGCCTGAACCTGCCAGATGAGCAGATGCACTAGTAGCTGGTTCAGAGCGGTCACATGCTGCATGCCGTAGTGACCTTCCCTGGACTCACCTGGCTCAGTGCAGTTTATGCCTGTTTTCCGCTCCTATCAACAGTGGCCCCTGTACTTTTTTTTTTTTTTGTGGAACCGGGGATTGAACTCAGGCCCTTGTGCCTGCCAGGGAAGCACTTAATCCACTGAGCCATCTCCCCAGTCCCTGGGCTCAGTTTTATTTATTTATTTATTTTTATTTGTGTGTGTGTGTGTGTGTGTATGTGGCCAGCTCAGCCCACCTGGGGGCGGGGCTGGCTGGCATGTGGTGCTGGGAGATTGAACCGCGGTCCCTGTGCTTTGTTAAGCTTGTTCTAAGTAGGTGCTTTAGACCACTGAGCCATCTCACCAGCCCCTGCCCCTGTACTCTTAAAGTCCTGCTCATAGGCCAAATCAGAGCCAGGCCCCTAATGGGACTCAACTCATCAAGAGAGTCTAGACCTCTCGCTGCTTGTAACAGCCCAAAGTACAAGCTACCAAGTGCTCACCCATGGAACTGGGCACGACAGTCAGACAGTCACACTGGCCGCTCTGTGGCCCCGCGTGAAAGCGCAGCCTTAGGCAGTAGTGTGCACAGCTCACGGGGGAGACTAGGGCAGAGGACAATATACAGGCATGACCCCATTTGTGTGCAGGTAAAGATGAGGGATCAGATGTTTGCACAGTGAGGCTACAGACTGGTAGATCTGACTGCTGGCGACACAGAAGTGCTCACTCCCTCAGATGCATGAGTTTGAACACTCAGAGCTGGAGCATTTTCTGCTTGGCTGGATCTCACCCATCAAAGGTTCTGTTATTTGGCCATGCTAGGGAATGACCTCGGCGGCTCACGGTGAGAGCCAGGCAAGTTCTCTACCACGGAGCCACACAGAGGACTGAACAACAGGGAAGATGATTCCTCGGTTTGCCTCGGTCGTGTGGCACTCAGGATCCCTGGGCCCCACTGCCACACAGAGAGCCTGAGCCCTGAGTGTGCACAGAGTCTAATACACAAGTATAAGAGTCAGCTGCGCCAGAAAAAGCTGACCCCGACTCTTCACTCCCTCTGCATACTTTACAAGCCAACTCTGGTCATCAGAAACCACTTCCGGTAGGGAAGACCGGCTCCGCGGCACCCACTGCTCTGAACTCCGTCTGGCTGCCGGCCCAGGCCTACACGACTGCCCCCCAGTGTAGCTAAGTCCCCGCGGGGCCTGCTTGAGCCCATTCTGGGACGGCTCTGGTCCCCTCCTGTGACTCCCCAACCCCTTCCAAGTTTCTAAAGAGCAGGGAACTTTGCTCACTGACTGTACCTCAAGAGTCTGGCCTAGCTCTTGGTGCTAAGTAGGCTCTTGAAGAATGAATGAAATAGTTTCAGCCTCCTGGCAGCCGATCATTACTCAGCTTGCTCCGGTGTATTCGGGCCCTGATTCTTCCAGATTTGAGTTTGCTAGGACTCATGATTAGGACTCATGCATGTTCTTAGTCGTCTTACTCTCTGCCTAATACTGGAAGGGAAAGAAAGCGAATTCAGAACATTTGCAATTCTGAAAGCACTCAGGCGGGGGTCGCCCGGGAGAGCAATTTGGACTTTCAGGGAGTGGGTAACCTGCAGGGAAGGGAGCCGCTGCCGGCCCTGCCCCCATGGCGCGCATTTGCCTACCGATTTATTTATACCTGCCTCCCTCCAGCGAGGGTTTGAGGTGGCATACAAAAATACACACAATGCAAAACACAAAAACAAGTCGGTGAGGAAATCAGGACGAGGGAAAAGTAAAGAGTGGGGAAAAAACAAGCTCGAACTGGCTCGCTAGAAATGGGACTTAATAGAGTTGGCGAAGTTTTCGCGGAGCCCACTGGGCCCTCTCTCCACCTTCCCTTTCTCCCAGACAGGGCTACGAGTCACAGGAGACACCGAGCCCAGGCGGGCGGACGACGGGGCTGCAGGGTGGTGGCCAGGCCTAATGGCCTAAGCAGGGCTGTCAAGGCGGACGGGTTGGCTGCCGGGGCCCGTGACCCGGGACAGGGCTCAGAGGCAGGAGCGAGGCGAGCCCCCTACTCCACGCGGCCCACGGCCTCGGGCTCGCGGCCTACTAAGCGCGCGCAGCGGCGGGGTACAAAGATGGAGGGAGCAGCGCTTCCACCCCGCCCCGCCCCCACCGCCGCAGACAAAGGGGCAGCGCCCCTCCCCCGCGCGCCCTCGCGCCCCTCCCCTCGGGCGGCCCACCCGGGACTTCCTCTCCCCGCCAGGGGCGGCCCGAGGACTCCTGGGGTCCGCCGCACACCTGGGCGCGCCGAGGAGGCCGCCCGCCCCAGCCCCCCGGCCCTCCTTCCTTCCTCGAGTCGCCCAGCCGGCTG